AGAAGGGGATGGGGGTGGAAAGCTGCTTTGAGCAAAGGGTGCTGGCCAAGGAGGGGCACTTGGCCCAGGAGGCCAGAGTGTGTGACGGGCCTGGGTAAGGGTGTGACAGAGGGTGAGGCTGAAGGATGTGCGGAGGGCCTGGCAGCGCCACGTGGGGGAGCCCGCTGGGCAGGAGGGCCAGGCCCTCTGTTCCTCTAAGCCCACACCTGTGGTCGGACAGGGGTTTTGGAAATAGCTCCTGGTCCATGGGCTCCCTCAGCGCTGCCTGGGTGCTCAGTGTGGGGGACCCACGTGAAGTCAGCGACGAGGGAGGCAGGGGACAGGCCAACAGCCTCAGAGGCTGCCAGGGGCCTGGGCTGGACAGCAGCATGCGTGTGAAGGGAGGAGGGGGGAGGGGAGCCAAGGGGGAGCTGGGCTGCAGCTTTAGCAAGGGTGCCCCTGCCCGGACACTGGGCCATGCCTGGCGGAGTGCAGAGCCACACTACTTACACGGGGCAGGCAGGAGGCCCTCGGCTTCCACAGTCCCCGAGCCCCTCCTGCCGGAGCTCAGGATGTCAGAGATCCTGGGGGCTGGGCAGACGGGGGGGTAGACATATAAGAAGGGGACAGGGAGGCTGCTGTCTCCCGCCCCTGGGCCTGTCTCAGGAGCAAGTAACCCCCAAACTGACGTGAGGCGTGAGCCAGTGGAAACGGCCCACACGGGGTGGGGGGGGACTCAGCCACCCTTGGCTCTTGAGGATCCCCTTAGGGAGGGGCTGCAGGCCCTTCAAGGGGACCCTGCAGCAGCAGGGGCCTGGCTACTTACATGGGGCAGGCAGGGGGCTAATGGGAGCCAGAGACAGGCAGGGCAGGGGGCCCTCAGCTTCACGGGTCCCAGAGCCCCTCCTCACCGAGCTCAGGATGTCAAGGACCCTGGGGGCTGGGTGGACAGAGAAGGTGTGAACAGGAGGCAGGCAGGGGGAACACAGAAGAGAAGGGGGCAGGAGAAAGACGAGGTGGGGTTAAGCTGGAGAACCCCCAAACCAGTGACACAGCTCGTGGCCACCCCAAGACCACATGGTGGGGCCTGGGGGCTCCTGGGGGCAGCATCACCCCCACGGGTGTTCAGGGCTGTCCAGTCACAGCAGGTATGAGGTCATCTCAGGACCACGTGGGTGGGAGGGCTGCATGTGCCCCCTGGGGCTTCTCTGCATGTGAGGCCTTCAGTGCACTGGGTGCTGGCCCAGCTTCACAGGCCAGTCAGGTATCTCCCACCCTCTCCCAGCCAGACCAGGGTCAGGGTCAGGTTTGGGAAGAAGCTGTCCAGGCTGGTGCTTGTCCCCACCCTCCTGCAGGCCTGGATCTGAAGCCCCCACGAGGCCGGGGTGGGGTGGTGGCCTCCATGCTGACGACTCCAGCCTGTTTCAGTCTGTTTGGGGAAACCACACAAACATCCAGTCTCCCTGGTCAAAGTCTCGTGCTCACTCTGCTCTGGGGTGTGGGGATGCTCGGGACAGTTGCCCCCAAATGGCAGAGTGGCCGGCTGTAATGCCCTGGGCAGCCCTGAGGGCACTGGTGTGTGATCAGCGGGGCCAGCGGCCTGCACCAGATCCCCACCCTCCCCCGCTGAGGCCACGGAGATGCACAGACCCCGCAAAGGCCCCTGGTTGCCCGTCCACTGAACTGCCAGCCAGCCAGTCCCATGACTTTAAGGAACTTTAAGAGAAGAAAGTGAGCACATTCAACCATGAGCTCATTCTTCGCTGCCGGAGGGAGAAGGGCAGTAGCTTCCTCACCGGTCAGGGCGCCCGGCCCAGCAGGCCCGGCCTGGATACCTGTACACGACGGGCAGCCAGGCGCTCAGGCTGGCGAGAGTCACTGCACTGAGCAGTCAGCCCCAGGGACACCCCAAGTCACAGACCCTGACATGGAACCCCGCCCGCCCATGAACCCACCCCTCGCCCCGCAGCCGCTGGGGGCGCACAG